TTGTTATATTTAATTCACTTGTCATCGCCCATATTTGTCGTTTTCGAGCTTCTGCTAACGATGTAAATACATATGTATGAATTATACAATTGGAGTGACGGTTATCGACAAATGTTTTCCGTGCCCATTTGTAACGACATAACTTTACAAATGTGATTTAGCAATATCCTTTTTTTTTTTCGCATACTGAATATCTCCATTTGCGTTGATAAAGTTAACTTTTCGGTTCCGCGCCACGAGTACGATCGCACCGAAAATATATATCCGCAACAAAATGGCATTTAAACGAAAATGCATATTCACCTGCGCGTTTTCCCCCTATGCGTTTCTCCCCAATTTCATTTTACGTGTTTATACATGGACACGCGCGTTACGGTCCAGCCCTTTGCAATATCGCTCGTAAAATCCTCGAAAACGAATAAAACAATATTTTTGCAGTAATTACTACTTGGGTTTTCGCCGAATAATATTAAGCGCCGCACAAACGTTAAATCGTGAAAGCGCACAGAGGGATATTCGGTGACTTTGAAAGAGTGATGGAGTAGCCTCGCAAAATCCTCTAAAACTGTATTATTATTACCGTCGATATTGCGAGATACAAATCAATTTTATGTAATGCGAATGCTATTAGGTAATACGAGAATCATTCCGTCGTTTCGATGCGAGGCATTAATTACGCAAGCGGCGAATTCATTAATTAATGATATCTGTAATATGTGTAAAATTACTTATTCACATTTGCCCTTTACTGTACAAACTAATAATCATATAGAAGTTAAATTGTTTAATAACAAATCGTAAATTAATATAAAGTTTTCTTCTGTATTCTACATGCGTACCTATGTGTACGTTTATGTAATGCATCGCGTGCTACTAAACCATAAGCGCTCAAATTTTATGAAGTATATCGAGAGAAGAATGAAATATTGGGCGTCGTAAATGAAATATCGTTTTTTACAGTAGTGATTTTCATTATTGATTTTTATCGATATTGGAATAAATAAAATATGTATAATGAAAAAACCTAATAATATATATATTTTTTACGTGTCTCGGAAACCATTTTATAACTCAATTTTGATTACAAATGTAGGAAATTTAAAAACGTATTACTTAATAGCATATTTAAAATTCAGAACTACATTTTCAGCTACATTTCCCACGGATAATAAATTTTATTTATTAATATCCATTTTTCCTTTAATTTAATGTAATTATTCTTAATTGTGGAATTTATAATATCATGAAATGTGTGTGTTCCTGTAATATACTATCCGACTTTGAAATCTGCATGAAGCACTTTAATGTTACGTTAATTTTTCAATATCCTAGAAATTTGTTATAAACTTGAAAAAGTATCACATTATTTTTCTACGAATTTGTTATACATTGAAAGAGAATTATAAATATTTCGCGAAACAGATCAGTGAATATAAAAATATTTTTTTAAATTGAAACTTTTATGATGCGACGTTTTGTACGTAGCGATCTGACATAATTCTTATCGATATTAATCGAGAATTCTTGCCACGGGGGAAATGTCGAGCAGAAACGCTTGTTGATAGTGTCCCTCGTTGGAAATAGATATCATCGTCGGATATCCATAAGATGCCGCTTTGTGTGGCTTCGACGAGCTCTACTCTGGTGAGCGCTCTACTTTTCGTCGCGAGATTAATATTTCAAGCGAGAGGTAGTTCTGTCACGAACGATAATTTCTTTTGCCGTTTATTTTTATGGAATATAGAGTCTAACGACCTCTTAGACACAACGGATTCTCGTATCATTATCGAGCGATCGTTTCCTCAAACTGCATCTCCCAATGCGACCCGTTTCGCCGCTCGATGAATATTTCTCTAGCCGCCTGGCAATCCCTCATCCCCTAAGACGTTTGACGAGTTTAACCTATGACCTATACACATGTCCACATAGACCACTGCAGGAATACCTGGGATGCATCGCGGGGTGACGTCAGGAATTCCATGCGCTCGCAATGTGGTGACCTCCATTCGCGGAAGGTATTGTTTACGCAATATACGCGGTGATGGAAGAGCGAATTGTTCCGATGCATTTGCAATTTTAACGTTACTGTTAAAAACTCACTATTTACAATTTTAAAGTTACGGTTAAAAAAAAATTCACCGTTTGTGAGACAGACAGATAGATCATAAATTAGAAACGCAAAACAATGTAAACCGTCACAGTAGCGTATAAAACTTGTATGTATTAATATCAACAACAATAAGTAAATATTTCGATCACAGTTTAAATCATCTTCAGGGTAAAATCATAAAATTGGCAAAATTAAGTATTAAGCACTACGTTACAATTTGGTACAATAAGAGAATGTAATCGAGGTGCTTTGTAGAACAGATAGATGTTACGCTTCTGTTTATTCGGATATTATCGGGACGTTCTAATTATCTCAGACTCCGTTTTTTCTGGTAATCGAGACACATAGTTTTATACGATTAAGCCATTGAACTCCGAGATTTCCGCGAATCTAATTTGTGAGTATAAATAGACAACTATCTCTATCATAAACAAAATTGGACATTATTTTTATCTTAGTCATTGTCAATCTGTCTAATTTCTCCTCAAAAAGTATTTGATTGCCTTACTGGTTACACGATTTTTAATTCTAAATTTTACTTCTTGACACACATATAATTTATTTCTGTGAATGTGTACTAATTTTCGAAATCTTTCTGACGGGAATTCATTTCCTCACATCATCAACGATGTTTCAATTGTTCTGACAAAGTTATTTATATAAGAAAATAAAATTAGCGGCTGACGAGTGAGTGCTACGCTTGGATAAAATTATTGCTCGCTTTAAACATCATTTTCTTCTCTAGAACAACGAGAAATTCCAAACATTCGGCCTGTAAACCGTTTGCGAGTACGCAGAAAAACAGACTGTTCTTAAATCAATCATAATACTCATATATAAGCAAAAATATTGTAATCTTGCTTTAAAAATTTTAGTCTTGAATTTATATTGATATTTTTAATATTGAGCAAGTTTGAATTAAGTGTAAAGTAATACTTGCATCAAAACAAATTTAATCAAATCAAGATTGATATCTTTGAAGCAAGATTATAATATTTTTGCTTATATATGAGTATATTATGGTTGAGTTAAGAATAGTCTTTTTTCTGTGTAGTCTTCTCAATTCTTTGTGTAATGTACATCTATTTGTAGCCAACAAATTTGAAGTAATATCGTCTATATCATCACAAGGAGAACCTTAATCTAAAGTGATATGTTGACTGCACATTTGTAACGAGTATCTGAAGATGGCTCAATGAAGAAGACAAAACATGTAATACGTATTTTATCGAATTTTTTTTTATACATTTAATATATTACATTAGAGAACTTATATACATGCTTAATTACGTTGATTCTTATGTGTCTTTCACATCTCTGTATTGTTTTATAAATAGACAACATAAGATACACTCTTAATCTGATTGGATTTTAGAGTAATTTTTTCAAAATAATCTGAAGTTGAATTACAAAGATATTTATAGAATTAAACTCTGTAAAAAATAGCGGTGTGAACTTAACACCAAGCGGTATCTGTATAATTCTCACCGTGTTGGTGTTAAATTGACACCAACATACTATATATAGATTTAACACCATTTTAAATCATGATGATGTTGATATAAATACCAGAGATTTTAAATCCACCACACCATGTTGATGTTAATTTAACAAGCATTATATAGACACTGCAAGGGTGTTAAATCAACACCGACATTTTTTAGAGTAAATACCCAAATTTTAAGAGTACGATAAAACGATTATTTGAAGGACTCGCGGTTTATATACAATGTAAAATAGGAAAATTAACTTTTACAATTTCTTTTACAATCTTATTTAAGATTTTAAAAAATTTAACTCAATTACACCGCGTCTCCTCCTAATATAGTACGACGTACTATTCTTCTCTGGATTTTTCGCAGCAAGCTTAATCATACGCGATTACCCACACAATCTTCTCTCGCATGCCCTTATTTGCATCGCTAATCGCGAGTTTTTAAGTACACTTTTCCTGGAGGGAACGCAGACGTCCACGAATCTGTAATAAATCCCCACTTTGCTCCGTTAAAATCGCGCGGCTCTTCTCTACTAAAATAATGCACCCCAGTTCCGCCCCCTGTACGCTCTGGTGCATCATCCGCGGAAAGTTCAGGGCGCCGCGCTCCGCCGCAGCGGCGACGATTTCGATGCGGAGTCACGATTTGATATCACAAACGCGTTACGTACGTGACGTTCGTCGGCTTGGTTATCGGTGGCCCGATCAAAGGGATTCGCTAATGTAACCTGGACGAACGGCCGTGCGCTTTCCAGAGCGCGCGACTTCGCGCTCGCGAATCGATACCCGTTAAACGGCGTAACTCGATAACGCCGCCCCCGCGTTCCGCTTCTGTCCTCTTGCGCGATGTGTCGGCTCATCCCTCCGCGTCCCTTTGGTGGAGAAAAAAAAATTGTTCGCGTTTCCGCAATCGGTCCCGGATCGGTCGGGTCGGTCGAGCGATACGGCCGGAGTCGCACAAAAAGCACCCCGGTGCGAAAGTAGCATTGTCGTGTTACAATCGAAATCGAATATTTGAAAAATATGGACGACGAGCGCGTTTGTAATTGCATACATGCTCGCCGTGTCTTGCTACCTCGATCGCGAATGACCCAAAAAGTACGGCATGCATGACAAACTAACGGGACACACATAGACAGATGATATAATTTTAGGATTGTGTTAATTCTTGCGAGTCTTTTTCAACAGCGGCATAGACAGAAAAGGCATAGACAGAAAAGGCGTTAAGGAGGAAAGGCAAATAACGGAGGCCTTTAATTAAGCAAGAAGAGGTCTAGATTATTTGCTACCGTTTGAAAGGGCACAATCTAATTAGTATAACGTCTGCCAGCGTTCGCAAGTGGTTTGTACACTGAATATAGGTCTTGCAATGTTTACTTCTGACTTTATACATATGCCTCGGTGGTCTAATGGTTTAGGATGCTCGTACGGAATACAAGAGATCCGGGTTCAAGTCCCGGCCGAGGTAATGTTTTTCGCAATAAATTTATTTACATTTTCAACATATTAACATCTTTATAATATGATGCTTGATGGTAGCATCAAATTATTAAGGAGGTTGTAAGGCAAATGCAATATGTTAAGAACTACTTGAAAAAATTACAGACTATTATAAATTTCATTTAATAGTAATACACAAAAAATAGAAACAATTGACCATCTGGACCAAAAGTTATTTAAATAAGTAGTAATATTTTTTAAATTTGTACTCTAATATAAATATAGGAAAATGTATTATAAAATAATGATAAAAATCTCAATTTTTTTATATAAATACTCTAGGAATTCAACAATATTTTTGTAAAGTTATCTTGAGATGCAG